GCGTCACTGCTCATGAATACCGGCCTGCATGATTGGCTTGGGTGTGGCGTTATCACAGGCCGACCATCATCTTTTGCTGACCCGGACCTCGCCTGCCCCCACCTGACGCGCGTTCCACTGCTTCTCTGCCCCCGCAGCTGACGGCTGTCAAGCTGAAGGTGGCCGCGAACAACGGCGCCCGGGTGTGGATCAACGGCGCCCTGCAGCAGGACTTCCTCAAGGCGGACAACGCCTTCAGCTACTGGACCAACACCACCGACGTGAAGCCCGGCGTGCTTGTGGCTGGCCAGAACATCATCGCCGTCCAGGCGAGGCAGGGGCGGGGCCAGGGTGGTGTGCGCGTGCCTCCGTCCACTTGACGCGTGCGCACCCACATGCACGACGTCAGTGACGTATCTGTGCAGACATGCCTTGCAGTGTGCTTGTGTGCAGACTGCCCGTGATTGCGGGCGGGATTTGCTGCGTGTTGCTCGCCACGCAGCTGGCAGTACACGGCCCGGCTTGGTCTGGAACTGCACGCGCTCATTGCTGTGCGGCCGGCCCCGCCCTGCCCCAATGTGATTCCCCAGGTGTCCAACACCGCTGGCTCCCAAGACACTGGCTTTGATTTGGACCTGGTGTACACGGCGTCAGCGCCCTTTGCGGCCAACAAAGTGGTGAGTTCCGCCCCCCTTGCAGCTGGGCTGAAAGCAGGGCAAGCCTTGCAAGCAAGCAAGAGCAGGCGCCGCCCGGTGCTCCCATCCCCGCACATCCGTGCCCCCTCCGAGCCCCGACAGCGACGGCATTGCAGAGCGTACCCCTGGCTGTTGCAGACCAGTTGCTCCTCTGTCTTTCGTCCCACCCCCCAGCTGTCCCGGCCCTGGTTGAAACGACGCTGCTTTGCTCGGGTTGGTTTACCGGCCCGCATCACCGCAGGGATGCAAGACGTTCTCCCTGTTCTCGCATCTGGAGGCGGCCGCCCCCTTTGCCACCCGCGCCAGCAAGCCCACCTGGAAGTACTTTGGCGGCGGCAAGGCCAACCCCAAGGGCCCATGGAACCAGGGCACTTTCGACGACTCAGCGTGGTCCCAGGGCGCGCCGCCGCTGGGCTTTGGCGCTGCAGCCGGCTTCAACTGGACGACGGCGCTGGCAGACAACTCGGCCGCAGTGACGAAGGGGCGCGCCGCGTACTTCTTCAGATACAAGCTGTGCCTGAGCGCCGACGTGCTGGCCTCGGTGCGACGCCCAAGGAGCGAGCACGGCGTGCCTGAACCCTGCTCGGTGCCAGCTTTGTGTCCACCCTTTGTGTCCACTTTATTTGGCAGGGCGGCGTTGCATGTGCAGGGTGTTGTGTGCCCGCGCGCTGGGGAGCGGCATGTCGGGCACCTGCTGGCTCGCAACTGCATGCAGAGCTGCCCGCACTGCGGCTGCGGTTGGGGCGGGCCCTCGAATCTCACGCACACGTGCCCCTTTGCCGCGTGTGGGCACGCCCTGCCTCCCTGCACCGCACCACCATCCCGCCCGCCTCTCTCGGTGCGTGCCGAGCTGTGCGACCCCCTTACACGGCCGCCTGCCAGCAGCCGTAGGCCTCAAACAACACCCCGCCCGCGCCCACACTGTGATCGCAGATCGGTACCCCTACGCTGACCGTGCTTTCGAACGACGGCGCCCAGATCTTTGTGAACAAGGCCTCTGTCTTCAATGATTTCACGAAAGACCACGCCCCAACGTGCGCCGCTCCCACCGCACGACGAGCGCCTGCGGCCGGCCGCCGTCGTGAACTTTGCCCGCAAGACAACGCACGCTCCCTGCTGCTGTCGCAGCTCTCCGGATGGCGCGGCGCTGCACGCGAACAGTCGCCATTGGCCGTGCGTGACAAACAAGCAGACCCTAGACCCGATCTCACAGCCAATCTGTGCAATTTGGCTATCCTGCGAACCACTACTTTTCTGCCCAGGTATTGGAACACTGTCAAGTTGCTGACAAAGAAGAAGCTGCTTGTGGCCGGCACCAACATCATCGCGGCAAAGGTGCGCACATGCGATGGACAGGATTGATAGCAGCCAAGTTGCACATCGTGACCGAACAGGAGCGATACGTAGGCCCGGCACGTACAGATTCGGCTGCGTGATGACGCAATTGCCACGTGTTTACGGCCTGAGAATTGCAACCAGGCCGCCAGCTCTGCAGCCATTTGTGTTCCTTGAGTTTCTTGTGTGCAAACCTGCCCACGACCCACTGCCTCCCTCCAGGTGTCCAACGCGGCGGGGTCCACCGACAGCGGTTTTGACCTGGACATCACTTACCTCTCACACGCGCCCCTGGCCGCCTCGCCCTCGGTGCGTCCGCCTCCCCGCCCCTCCGCCCTGCCTCTATGCTTTCTTGCTAGTGCTCACAACTGCCAAGCTTCGCAGCCGCCGGGGCGCGGGCCTGTCGGCGACAGGTGTGCGGTTTTGCAGTGCTTGGCGCGGGCAACGCATACGCCTCGCACTCAAGTCCGCCCGCGGCCACTTTCCTTTTCTCCCGCAGGTCTGTGCTTGATTTGGGGCCGGAGGCTGATCCCTTCAGGCTGCAACAATGCAAGGATGGGGGGCGGGCCCAGCGTGCTCCACTTGTGATGGAGATTCCAGAATTCCTCACTACTGCGTGCACACAGGGCGCACGTGGATGCAAGCAAGGGCCAGCTGACGAGGGCCGGATTGTGCGCCGTCAACCGCTTGCTTTAGGGTCCGAAGCGTTTGGGGTGCAGGCAACCGAGAGCGGCTGCTGCTGGCCGTATGGATCGGCCCTGCCTTATGCCAATAATGTCTTTGCAGCACTGCACTAAGTGGGTGTCCTGTCTAAGCAAGAGCTGAGCTCACATGTTTTGGTGCTGCCCCACTCCAAAAAGTATGACAGACGCGATGTGTTGGCTGCTCTGCTGGCTATGCGCGATATCAAACTGCACGTGGCCGGAATGTGTGGCGCCGTCTTGCTGTCGACGCGCTCTTCTGTCATCACTCTCGCACCTCACGACCGGGGCTCTGCGCTGTGGCGGCGCTTGTCGCCACGGGGCGATCCCTGTACGCGCCTCGTCCCACAGGTGCTGCTGACCGCTTTGTGTCTCTGATGGCCTGTCAGTTCTCGACAAAACACCGATTGCTGCTGGATTGAATTGTGAACATACAGGCACAAGGGTGCAGCCTTCAACTGCTGTCTGGCGCACACATAGCGCCCTGTTGCCGCACCCACACCTTCACACATCTACATTCGTCATACCCACGCGCATGCGTGCTTGTGCATGAGCACATGCAGTGATGCGCGCATCCACATGGCGCTTGAAGTGCTGTTGCTATGCTTGATCATCGTCACACGCGCCAGACTGCCCGCTCTGTCCTGCTTTCAGTGTTGCGAGGGCACTTGCCCCCCCCCCCTGCTTGCCTACCGCCAGACCTGCCGGTCTGTCGGGTGCAACCACTGTGACACCCCTGCCGGGCACAGCAACACCCAGCCCCGGCGCTTTGCCCCATTCGTTTTTCGGCGTTGCTCGCTCGACCGAGTGGCGGGGCCAACCTCGCAGCCCCACCTGACAATTTGCTTCCCGGCCGGCGTTTGCTCAATTGAGAACTTGCCTTTGGTAATGTGATGTCCCCCTTTGCGTATGCAGTGGCAAGTTTCGTGCTGTCGGCGTTGAGCAGCACTCGGTTTACCTGTGTGGGGGAGTCTGTAATGTGGCGCATACAAAGGTGTGCATCCGGTTTGGCCAATCTTATTGCGAGATTCGCAAGAACCTTATTTGAGGGGTTCAGCAGACCAGAGTCCCACTGTCACTGCATTCACGTCCGCCGCTGCAAGCGACTGAGGAGGGGCGGCGTGGTCCCTCTCAATGATGACCCTGCATGGTGAGCCGCAGCCTGGCCCAACTGCTTTGCCAACCACACGCGCCAAAAGTGGTGGTGAGCTGGTGTCAAGTTTCACCTCTTGACATCTTTTCAGGCAGAATAAGTGAGCTAGGAGGATCTTGCACCCCTGCCGCCCCTGCGCATCACAGCGGGCTGCGATATAAGATTGTGCACCAAAGGTAAGGCGATGGGTATGGGGGTCTTGTAGGCCGTCCTGGACAAATTTGCAGTCGTGTTGCACGGTGGGGCATGGCCCCGGGGAGGGGGGGGGATCGGGGATGCGTTGTGTTTCTACCTCAGAAGTCCAGACCACGGGTGACAAGGGGCCGCAGAGGCTCTGATTGGCTGAGAAAGGACAGCATGCGGGTTTGAGCTTCAGAATGGCTGAGACTAGTTGTGCTTTGGCATCAGTGGGTGACTGCATGGCGACTGTACGGTGCGGACAATGACAAGCAGCTGGACAGCGGTGAAACGTCGGAGGATCGAGTGACTCTGTTTGAAAGGCCCGAGGCCGCCGTGCCGGTTTTTGGTCGTGAAATTGGTTTTCACGCAGTCCAGTCAATGCCGCACCGCTAATCCCGGGCGCATCGCTGACGCTTGATGATCTGATTGGCTCAAATGGACACGGCAACGCCTGAACTCGGTCGCAATGACCTTTTATTCATTAAAAAGCAGCTGAAAGCCGCAGAGAGCAAGGTGCGGGGGCAACCACGATTCCGGTGACACGCAATTCACGGTCTGTCGCCTGTGAGGCAATTGACGGTCCTCACTGACACGGTGGTGGCACGTCGAATTACAGGTTCTGTACCTCAGCAGCGAGCGTGAAGCCCTCAAGCGGCTCGTAACGGACTATGAAGGCCAACGCCAGGTGCGATCCCATCTGTCGCGGCGGCAGGTGCGCGGGGGAGCAGGCGAAGCACGGCCCCGCCAGCAGCGTATAGCGATTCAGATGGCAGGCTCTTCACCTCAATATACACCCCCTCTTGTACATCCAATTGAACCCCCACCCACCTGCAGGCGGCGCTGGACGCGCTGCGCGATTACCGCGAGGTGTCAGACGCCTCCGCGGCAGCCCACGCGGAGCAGGAGGCGGCGCTGCGTTCGCGCATTACAGAGCTTGAGAAGCAGGCCGGCACCACCCAGCGCGTCAGGTGTGTCGCGTGTGGATGGGGGCCTTCCTGAGCGTCGCTCACCGGGGCCGCTCCACGGCACCAACTAGCTTTCGGCAGCCCCAACATTGGAGCCTGTTGCTACGCTGCGTGCGCTCGGTCCTGCCGCAGGACGAGCCTGCATGCGACGACGGCGGAGCTGGAGGCGACGCAGGTCAGGCGCTCGCGTTCGCACGCGGCGCACGCGGGCGCAGCGCTCGGCCGCGGGGCCCTGCATCGCCCTGCGCCGCGCCTGGAGCGCCCCCGCTCCACCTACAACGCAGCCCGAGCCCGCCTGGAGCTTGCTGATGTCACCGCCGCACAGAGCCCTTGCTGCCCCCATTGCTGACGTGGATGCATGCCCGACTGACTTTTTTCACGCATATTTGACCCTGTTTGACCAGGTCGAGGTCGAGCGCGTGACCGCGCAGCTGCAGGACGAGCAGGCCGCCGCCGCCGAGCGCGCGGCGGCGCGCCAGCAGCTGCAGCAGATTGCCGGTGGGTCCAAGCTGCAGCCAGGACCGCCGCCCAGGGCCAGGGGCCGATCGGGGCTGCCTCTATCATTGCGGGAGCCCTCGCAGCTGAGTTTGTTGCGTGCTTGGGTTGGGCCAGAAATCAGGCGCCTGCAGCGACGGCGGGGCAGGCGGGCCGCAGGGTGGGTTGATAACATCCGCTCCTCTTGTGCCCCTTGCGACCGCAGCGGGCAAGAGCCAGCTCGCAGAGGCGCAGCAGGCGCTGGCAGACAAGGAGCGGGAGCTCGAGCGCAAGCAGGTGCGCGAGGGGTGGCTGTCCTGCCCAAGGGGTGCCGCCGCGCTCACGTGCACACCCAGTACACCGTGGTGGTTCCTTCAGCTCGACCCCGTGACACCTGCGTGCGTGGAGTGCCGCCGCTGCAAGACGCCCCGCCTGCGGGCGCTCGTCGCTTTGCAGCAAACCAGCCGGTTTGCTGCAACGCCGCCTCTTTGGCAAATCCCGCCACTCGGCTAGCTGAATCCCCCAATCCTAAACCCTAAACCCTGAAACATTTGACCAGTTTGACCTGGACAAGGCTCAGGGGGAGGTGGGCCGGCTGCGGGCCCGCGCGGAAGCCGAGCAGGCGCGGCTCGACGCGCGAGAGGCGCGCCTGGCCGCGCTCGAGGTCGCGCTTCAGGTGAGGCGGCGGGCACATTGGACGGCGGGCGGCCGGTTGACGCGTGCTTGATTGACAGTGGCAGCGGCGAGGCGGGAGGCGGCGGCGCCCCGCTGGCGGCGCAGCCGGGAGAGCCGGCGAGGAGCCTGCTGAACGGCTGGGTTGGGGGCGTCGGCTTGAAGCGCGGCGCAGCCACGCGCCCATACTTGGCCGCATCACCAACGACACGATTTGATCGTTAAAAACTGCGTCACAGGACGGCCACAGCAAGCTCAGCGCGCGCCAGGCCGACGCCGACGCCGCGGCTGCCGCGGTCAACAAGCAGCGCGCGGCGCTTGACCAGGCCTCCGCCCGCGCCGCCGCGCGCGACGCGGCCGCCGCGGCCGCCGAGCTCGCCGCCGCGCGGCGC